AGAAGTTCTGGGAAGCTCTCTCCATAACCACATTTCTCTGGTTATGACATTACGACGTTTTTTTGTTTGTTTGTTTTTGTGCCGTCATGTTCTGGGAGACCCCTCACCCTGTCTTTGAGATCTGCATCATGTGTGCTTTAGTGTTCTTGGTTTTTGCTTCTCTTCTCCTAGGCTGTCCTTCCCAACTGTATATTTGTTTTCCCCACTGACGGTTCTCTCTTTTATTTCTTTGGAGACTTGCCATGGCAGATTCAAACGTTTCTATTCTGCTCATCATTAGTTTTGCTTTGCAGGATGTGAATTCTGCTGCCGTTTTCTCAAATTCCACAGAATTCTCTGTCTCAAGGGCTGGATCATTTCCCTTCATTCTGCAGTATGTGTTCATTGATGCCTGATCTCATTTACTAGATCTGGAGGCCACATTTCCTTCTGTTGTTACTGGTTTTCCTACTGATTGATCTCTTCATGTTCAGGGTCTTTGAGATTCTTTCTTCCTAGTACTTTCTTTGGTACTTTCAATCTTGATTCCCCCGCTCCCCATTTTTCTTGGCTCTCACTTCTGACTTTGTCCCCTCTGATTGTAGTCTCCTTGGGGGCTGGATCTCAAAGAGTCTCAGCCTCCTCCCACCCTGGGCAATTCACAGTTCACCAGCCAAAGAATCGGCCCCAATCTACTCTTGGGTGGTCAGAACTGGCCCCAGCTGGGTGCTGGGCTCCTCCCTCAAGCTTGATGGAGTGCTGCACAGCACCCCACCCCCAATGACATCTGGTGGCCTGTCCTACTCTCTCGGTTTCTCAACTCTCTGCCCCTGCGCTGGCAGTCCAGAGGCTGCAGGTCAGAGCACTGCAGCACTGGTGCTTCTGAGAGTCTGGGCCTGAGTATTTCCATGGCACTGGAAAGAGGGAAGAGGAAGGTGCAGAGGCGGTTCTGACAAGCCTGTGTCATGTTCTTGAGTCTCCTAGTGTAGGAGGTAGGAGAGGGGTGCTGAGTGAGCTCAAGGTCAAGGAGGGTCAGTGCCTGGGTTTTTTTCCCCCTCCTTCTTTTGTATTCTGGATGTCCTACAGCATGGAAGCAACTGGAGCTGCTTTTTCTTTGGTGCATAATTTCTGTTTTGGAGAGGTCTGAGAGGTTCTGGGGATCAGAGAGAATATCTAGACCACCATCTTGCTGCTTATGTGACCCAGAAGGCTCTAAACACAGAACCATAGATCTAGGCTGGAAGGAGCCTCACACCATCTTGGTACTTAGTTCAACGCCTGCTGACTTTATGTAAAGCGGAGACAGTGATTTTCTGAGAGGGCTGTTTTAGCTGGAACATATGAACACTTTGACCCTACCATTCCTTCAGGGTTCCTATTTTCCCCACCCTAACTCACCCCTCCCCTCCACCCTTTTAAACAGAAAATAATAATGAGAGCAATTTGGGGAATAAAAATTATTTTCTTGTCAGCTTCTCAGTCACCAGCAAAGTAGAAATTTTGGTTTTGATTTTAGTTTTGCCTTAAGAAGAGAATTATAATGTGTCCCTTTGTATTGATTGTCAATTATTTTCATGTGTTGCTTTTTTTTCCTCTTCTTTAGATGTCACTACCTAGCACAGTGGCTAGAGCATTGAGCCTGGATTCAGGAAGACTTGGGTTCACATCTGGCTTCAGATCCTTTCTAAATGTGGGATCCTAGGCAAGTCATTTAACCTCTATTTTCCTCCATTTCCTCAACTGTAAAATGGAGAAAATATCAGCATAATAATTGTTATAGAGATAATGTTAGCCTTGTAAGGCTCTTATGAGGGTCAAATGAGATAACATTTGTAAAGGCCCTGAACACAGGCAGTGCATGGGACACAGGAGGCACTCTATAAATGCTTATTCCCTTCCCTTCCCTTTTCAGGACAAGCATTCTTCCCTCTGGATATCATCTGAACGTGAATAGATCAGGGCAGACTTACATACTTTCTTCTCTCCTTAATTAGTCTTTACGATACATCGTTCCCGTTTTTCCGCATCATATTTTTTTCCCCAGCATCAGTTATTGGCTGTGCTTTTCTGGAACATTTTCCTGATGTCGGTGCTAAATTCTCCAAAAATGACCCTTAGGAGGTTTCCTTTTCTCCATCAGGACTGAGGACCTCCTCGACCATCTACCAGATTCTCTTGTGTTTTTCCTTTGGAGTCTCCAACTGGAAGAAGCAAAGGAAGAGAAATAACCTCTTTAGTGGTGTAAATGCCTCCTCCCAGATACGGAAATGCATCATGGACATTCTACCAAGGGAACCCTGAGAGTGTCATGAACTTGTAAAAATTGGGACCAGGTAGCACCCCCTGCTGGGCGTCGTCCTCACTGGTGAGCAAGAGGACAGGAGGAAGGGATGGGACGCCAAGCGGCATCTTAAGAGCCTGCTCACTTCTTTAAACAAGAAAAACGCCCCTCAGCCATGATAAGGACAGCACCTTAAGGTTCACATGTCCCACGTTTACATGATCTCATCTGATCCTCACAGCAACTCTGCCACGTAGGTGGTATTATTATGTGGAGGACGGCGGTGAAGTGACTTGCCCAGGGTCACCCAGCTAGGAAGCATCTGAGGTAGAATTTGAACTGAGGTCTTTCAGACTCCAGGGCCTGTTCTTTCTCCATGGCATCACCTGAGGTGGTGTGAAGATGCAGATGATGAACAACTGCAGCGTTTGTGCCCAGCAAAGGGCTGAGATCTTCAAACAGATGCACCCCAGTCCGGTAGTTTAGATGGACATGGGGAAGGAACTGATGTTTCAGTGAGGAGGCTCCAAGAAGCTGAGGTTGTGCTAGCCACAGACCCGCCAGAGGCCTGTAGGACCGGAGATCTGTGCGAGTTGCCATCGGGGCTACCCCCAAGTTCAGGGTCCGGGGGCGGGGCGGGCCTGTTTTCCCCATGAGCAGGTGCACTGGGGCTGTTCCCAGAAGAATGGACAAGTGGTTACTGAGGAGACCGCACAATGCCAATCACTGACGCGCAGCTGTGAATATTGTACAGGGAGCCTCAGCTTCTTATGGGAAAATTTGGGATTGCATGTTTGTGGTGTGCTTGTCTTTACATGAAGGTGGTTTTTTTGAACAGCTAGAATATGAAAGCACACTGGTGTTTGGGTACATTCAGTGCTATGCAACGTATGCTGTGTTACCATCTAGGTTTGGATTGTTCAAGAATGGTTTGTTGGTATTGTTTTAAGTCCCCAAAAGCCCTTGATGAAAGGTTGCCCAGCAGCGTAGCCCCAGATAGGACCATCCCTAAGGCATTGCAAGGTTTAACCACCTTAGCTGGGGAGCTGGCAGAAAACTCTGGGATAGAGAACTGATTAAACAGATGGTTAGAACCCTGGTTTGGCGAATGGAAAGGAAAGGAATGGCTGAATCTGTTTGGGAGTATTAACTGCTGTAGGATGTTGTGTGGTTCCATGCATTGGAGGACCACATCCCTCACTAAGATTACTCCAGCAGGACCCACGGAGGGAGTTCAGATGGAAGGCTCTGGCAATGTAAGGATGATGATCGAAAGTACTATTGAGACTTCCCCCAGTGATGGAGAATGCAAAATCGGCTTAAAGAGATTAGAGGATGAGGAAATTGGGAATGTGTGGAAGCCAGATCTTTACTAGAAAAGAAAAGGGGGGGCTTGTGAGAAAAATGTAGAAGTTAGGCTTCCAGAGCAGAACAAGGGAATTCCAACATCTCATGGACAGTCCCTCAACCAATCAGAAAGTGCCCCAAACATTCCGCAAACAACTAGTTCCTTAAGAAAGAGCCCTGGGGACTAAACCGGCTGCAACCTGTCTGGGTCAAGGACAACAGGGCAAAGGCTTTTCTCCACTGCGCTTGATTAAATAAGCTTATTGAATATTAACTGACACACCCCAGGGGCAGAGATAGCAGCCCTTTTTGAACATGGGAGGCATGAACTGGGAGGAGTTAACATGACATGGGATGGGCGGTTCAGGAAGAGCGTAACTCAGATGAGCTGGACCAATCCTAGCCCTGCTGGAAGGATCAGGGCCGTCCTAACAGCATAAAAGATGGCTCTGGCTTCTGCATGGTGCGCCTCTCCCAGCAGGGGGCGCACCTGATTCTTGCAAGAATCGTAATAAAGGATTCGTCTTTCACTCAGGGTTTATCATGATTAACAGCGAGACTCCACGTGGCATTGCAACTGGGAAAGCGATGGGCTAACTTCCCAGCCCTGCTGTGGGGGTGCAGAGGCCTCTGTTTCTGACATTATATGTGACAGATTCTGAGAAACGTGGAAGATTGATCGGATAACCGGGAGAATGATTTACGTACAATAATCATGTGAAGGAAAACCACTTCGAAAAACATCAGAGCTCCGACTGAAGCTGCAAACAACTGACTTCAAAAGATTAACCCTGCTTTCCACCTCTTGGCAGAGAGATGAAGGACTGTAAATGCAGAGTGTAACTGATGCATGGATGTAGACTTATTTTAGGAGAGGACTTCTATCTGGATTGGGTTATTTCTATGAGATTCTTTAAAGGAGCATAATAAAACCTCTTTTAATGCCCAGAAGAAGAAAAAAGAAATGCGTTAGGAAACACAGACAGAGTGACTGTTTAAAATTTAACTATACACATATGTATATAGTTGTCTTTAAAAACAATCCATATATAACAAATTCCATTGTTGCTTATAGGATCCTTTCTCTAGCTCTTATTATTAAAATGTTTGTGTTTGTTAAAAAAAAAAAGAATCGTTTGGAAGTGATGGAATTCAGGGCTGCTGGGAGGTGTCAGTACACATAGCAGTAGCTCTGGCGTCAGGAACATGTGACTTTAAATCCAGCCTCAGTCACTATTTACAAGCCGTGTGGCCCAGTGCAAGTCAGTCAACCTCTGTTTGCCTTAATTTCCTCCTCTGTAAAATGGAGCTCATAATAGCACGTCCCTCCCAGGGTGGCTAAGAGGATCAAATGAGATAAAAATTATAAAGCCCTTAGCATACTGCCCGGCACACAGTAGGTGCTTAATGAATGTGCGCTGTTATTATGGTGTTTACTGCAGAGTGGGATAAAGTTCTCTTTGATAGCTGGAGGTCCTACACTTGTAAATCAGTGAATGTTGTTAGTCACAACCACAGCATTTGACAGGTCCGCAATATTGTTCCCTGGGGCAGAACCGAAGAATCCACTTGAGATACAGCTGGGGAAGGTGAGATCGAGGTCAGTGTGCATTCAGAATTTTCTGGATTTTTCACTTTGCGTGCTCCCAGTTTTCTTACTATGACAAATGTCCATGAAGCTGAGCCTTTCCAGATACAAAGAATTACAAAAAAGAAGGCGATCTATGGCACCATAAATCCCTATTATCTGCAGATTTAAGAGAGACAGAGGAAGGCCAGGATAGCTGACCCTAGCTACGCTTTCACATGTAATATACACTCATATGTAACTGTACACATAAATAGACATACTTACACAGATGCGCATATATGTATACATGTGAGGGACTGTCTGATGTTGGCAGCTACCAGGTTGGGCGCTGTGGCAAGAGTAGGGTAAGATCTGGGTATTTTGGAAGTCGAGGCAGGGGCTGTGGTAGGCAGAGTCGTGGTGAACTGGGATGGGCTGGATACAGAGAAGCCCTGAGGCAATGGGCAGTGCTATGTGAGATAAGCTGGGTACAAGGAAGTAGCCGGAGCTTGAGCTCCTGAGGCAAGGGGCGGTGCCACGTGGGAGTGGGACGGCAGAGGACTGAGTTCCCTTTGCTTGGTCCCCTCCCTATATGCAACGTCATCCCCAGACGCCTCTTGTGACCTTCCTGACTTCCTGGGTCCCTTTGTGCAGCACTGACCCAGACCCCTCCTCCCAGTGTCTGAGTCTGACTTCCTAGGTCACGTACTCTTGTCTATGCACCAATCCCAGATGCCTCCTACGTCACTCCCTCCCCCTTGGTGTGCTAAACTCAGACAGCCACTTCTGGTATCTGACCCTACAATCATTGGCTAGTAAGCGGGCTGGGGAGGAGGGGCTAGGTAGGTGCTTAGGAACGAGCGTGGTCAGATCACACGCGCTCTCTCCTGGCTCCTGCCCTGTTGCTCTGGCCTTGCTGCTTGGGCTTGCTATGATGGCTTGCTGTGATGGCCTCTGAATAAAGCTCTGGTGTTGGCGCCTCCCGATGGCTCGTCTCTGTGTGGTTATCCGGCAGAGGACCGAAGACTCGAGTGTGAGTAAGACTCTGGTAGTGTGCTCCTTATAGGAGGAGCGGGTACCGGCGTACGGCTGGCAGAAGGTCGGCGTGCGGCCAGTATATATACACATGTGCATGTGCACATGTGCATGCGTTCGTGCATGTATGTGTGTGTGCCTGTGTAATTTGGTTGGTACAGAGAGTGGACTGTCCCTGCATATAACATCGATACTGCTGATGGGCGTGGGTTGAAGGGGATTCCTCACCCACTTGTTAGATGGAAGTCACTATCTGGGACGGCCTGTGTGTAGGTTTGTGATGGATTCAAAAGAGGACCAGTTTGGTTCCTGTGGTGATGCTTTTCCTTTCCCTTGTCCCAGGCTGACTTGCAAAATTCCTTATGCTTCTTCTAGGGGCTTTAGGTCATTTGTCTCCCACAGCTGCCTCCCTCTCCTGCACATCACTTGACCTGGCTAAACAATATTTTTATAGACTGACACCAAAGTGTTTGTAATTCAGGTGGGATAGAGGATGAGGGAGGGGAATACAAGATCCCTTTGTAGTCTCCCTGTACCTTGCTCTGAGGTCTGATGTGTCTTCCACTTTTTCTACCTACCTTTGCCCAACCTCTTTTGATGCAGCTAGCAGAAAACACACAACCAGGATGAATTGTGTCTTTGCAGGAACAGAGTAGAGAGCAAAGCATTGAGGTCACAGTCTGTTGGTTCTAGATGGATGGATGGCCTAGTTCTTCTCTTGCTTTGCCCCTGGGAAGGGAAGCATCCTCCTGTCTCCATCAATGCCTAGAAGGCAAAGGAGGACCACCATGTTGCTGCTGCCTTTACAAGGAGGAAGACCAGATGACGTAGAGGTAGCTAGAGAGGCCACAAGGTGATGAGAAGGGTAAGAGAAGAGACAGATCCACACCATCCAACCAACCCTCCAACCACCCACCCACTATTGAATCTTTTCAGTTATTGTTTGTCCCTTTCATTCATCCACTTACCCTCACTTATCCTCAGCTTTGGAGGCCTGCTCTGTGCTGGGGAAGGGCTAAGATAAACCTGAGGATGTAAAGAGAACAAAGAAATCAGTGAATCCCCAAATTTAGATCTGATATTGTCCAAGAAGAAATCCTTAACTGCCTCCACTCATGTATGGAAGGAAGAGAGCCCTGGGAGCAGCAGCACCATCAGGTTTGCTACCATCAAGTGGCAGCAGAACCATCAGGCTTGCCATCATCAGGTAGAAGCAGTACCATCAGTCTTTCCCAGGAGGCATGTCCAGACTCTATGTTAGGATCCAGAGGGGATGGGAGAGGGCTGCTC